ATGTAGACCAGGTGCCTCGAACTGCCTCGAACTCACAAAGATCCGCCTGCCTCTGCCTCCCAAGTTAAAGGCATATGCCACCATACCCAGCAAGATTAATTTTATTATTTTTTAATTATATGTGTTTGTAAGTGGTATGTGCACATGAGTGCAGGTACCCATGGAGGCCAGAAGAGAGCATTGGATCCCCCGAAGCCAGAATTATAGGCAGTTGTGAGCCACTTGACATGGGTGTAGGAAACTGAACTCTGGTCCTCTGCGAGAACAGCATGCACCCTTAACCTCCAAGCCATCTCCAGCATTACCATCACTTTAAGTTGCAAATTTTGGGCTAACAAGATGATTCAGTGGGTCAAAGTGCTTGCTGGGCAACCTGAGGACCCAAGTCTGATCCCCACATCATCACAGTAAAAGGAGTGGCAGACTATGACCTTCAAACACACACATTTAAAAACATCATAAAATAAAGATGGAAGCTTTACTACAAGGCAAACTTCCTAGTAAAGATGGGTGGGGTTCCAAGACCAGACTGTGGCTTTCAGCTGTCAAAGTACACAAGCTTCTTGGCTCTCAGTGGTATAGAAAATCAAGTATTTAACAGTATTTTTAAAGCATTGCTTTTAAGTATTCCCAGTATTGTCAACACACAAAATATACTTTCAAAAATCAAGTAATCAAAAGCCGAAAAGCATTTTGACTTTTGGTACAGAAAGAAACACATACTGCTAATCTGAGGTTACTGAATCCCAAAGACAAGCAATTCAAAAATTCTAACACAAATAGTACTTTTACTTACCAGAAAAACTAGTGATCCATCAAGTCCTAGCATCTGAAATAAATAGCAATAATAACATCCATGAATTCAAGACGGAGTGGATTTTCTTCTCTTACGGAAGTGAGTTCTCCTAGTATCACTGAACACCGTTCTCAACCACTACTTTCCAGGCCCACTTACTATTGCGGAGTACATATTATATTTTGGGTCTCCTAGGTCATATGAAAAAATATCATCTAGAAATATTCCATCTTGAGCTGGGCAATGGTGTATGTCTGTGATCCCAACACTAGGGAATATAGTAGACCCTTTCTCATAAAGTCAATGGGTGCCAGGTGTGGTAATGTGCACCTCTAATCCTAGGGCTTGGGAGACAGGCAGGTGGATGATCTCCATGAATTTGAGGCCAGCCTGGTCTACATAATGAGAACTTGTCTCAAAAAAATAAAAATAAAAATCCAGTGGACATAGCTCAGTGGGAGAGCACTTGCATAGCATACCCAAGGCCATGAGCCTGTACCCCATACACTGCAAAAGAGTCCATTTTAAGTTTAATTCTTACAATTGACAGCGCCAGAAAAGACTTCATTATAGAAGTAAATTATTTTATCAAATGAAGCATAAAAATTACTCAATTTTAGATTTTTACTTAGCTTTTCCAAAGCCCACATTGCCCATATGAAACAAGGTTTGTATTAGAGGCACAAGATTAAAAAAATTTTCATCGTTGCCATTATTTTTAGCACAAATTGTCCATCACTTTATTTTCTGTAGAAATTAAATCCTGCTAAGTGCTTTCATGAAATGTAACTACAAAATTAGTGTTTATATCTAAATATGCCAAATTTTAAAACATACTTCAGGATTAAAACACAAAACCAGGATAAGGAAGTTTCTTACTCTTTCCCACGTAAGCTCTTCTGCAGCCCGGTCCCATTCTAATGCATTCCAGTTCATGTCATCTGGAAATACAGTATCGGTAAAAGATTATTAATAGAAATTAGACTGTACATAATAAAAACCACATGTAATTTTAAAAAACACTTTTAATTATCATAGTCTGCTAAGAAGCTAAGCCACATTTAAAATTTTTCCCAAATTGAGAATTTACTTGCTAGGTTCTAAGTCCTACATATAAATATAGACTTATAAATCAATAATACCTATAAAATAAGGTGATCCTAGCCTGTATTAAGTGCTAGAAAGGAAATGAATAGGGTTACGTGAAAGACAAAGTCAACAGCTATGAGTGAGAAATCTGTGTGGTAGATTGAGAAAAGAAGAAAGCTACAGGATCGGAACTGTCTAATGAATTAGGAAGTTAGAAGTTAAAAGTATCAAAGTCAGAGCTGGATGAAGCAGCACACACCTGAAATCCCAGCACTCCCAATACTGAGGCAGGAGGATTCAAAGTTCCAGGCCAGCCTGGGCTACACTGTAAAATCCGGCCTCAAAAAACTAAAGAGAAAAAAGTATGAAAGACAGAGACCACATAAGAGGAATGTGGGGTCTGGACTGCATTTTATTCCTTGGAGCAGTGCAAAAAGCATTCCAGGATTTAAAGGCAGGAGAATACAATGAATACCAGAGTGGGCAGAAGAGAAAGACAGACAATAACTGCTGCAATGAACAGAGAGAGAAAATGGCCAGGTCCTGGGCAGTAGCAGCCTCTGACCTTTCCCTGCAGAAGCCAACTGCTCCCACTGTGAAACTGGTTCCTCTTATGTTTGGGCCTTGGGCCCAAATTCACTTACTCAAGCTTGGTACGAATCCTTATTTAAAACAGTCATCTCTTCAGAGCAACCCTGTAACACCTGCCACATTGCGTATTTCCTATTTCTTCCCTAGACCAGAAGCTCCACAAAGGCAGGTCCTGGTATTTTGTTGACAACTACATACTCTGACTTGACTGCCTGACACGAAGGGACAGAGATATTAGCAAAGTCTTGAGGGCTCAATGACAGAATAGCCCTTCACAGGAACACTCTTCACTGACAGATCCAACTTCAGATCTTATTTTACATTCTGGATTTTACAATGATAGAAAATAAAGAAACAGTTTCCAGAGACAGCACCTCACCTATAATATATACTTCAAGAGTTCTTTTTCAATTTAAGAAGTATATAAGCTCTATAGAAACAGAAAAAAAGGAACAAATAAGTAAATCTGCAGTAAGTTCCTTCCCTGGTCAAACTTAACTTCTTCCTACCATTCAGTTAAACAAAATCCTCTGTGAAGAACAAATGTAAAACACAAAATTCTGCTTCATAGAAAAAAAACACACACTTGTGCACATGTATATCCATAAATGCAGTTTGTCAAAATAAAACTAAGAGAACTTTAAAGCACAGCATGAAACTTGAAAACCCTCGTTTTCTTGTCCTAGTGTGTGCTGAGAAGGGACTGATGTCATGAAGAGTGAGAGCACAGAGCAGCCGTTACCTTGGGCTCCATTGTTAGCATCTGCAGCATCTTCCACACCTGCATCATCTTCCTCCTCATTGTCTTCCTCCTCCTCTTCCCCTTGATCATCCTGGGCATCAGGGTTCTCCCCAACCACTGCATTCTCAGCTGGTGGGTTAGCAGGCTGATCAGCAGCAGCATTTTCTGCACCATTTCCTCCTACGGGAGCCTAAAATGACAGCAAAGCCCAAGTATTCACCTAACGGCTCAATTTAGCTCTACTTCCAAATCATACTCTTCCCTACTAGAAAAACAAAACCAAAACAAAGATAACCCTATTAAAATTTAAAAAGAAGCATCTTCAAAGTCATCTCTTCTAAACATATCTAATTTGAGATCAACTTGGAATCTAAGAACTACACTCATTCTTCAGTGTATATACTCAACTTAATTAGTGATTTACACTTCAGAAAGCATTAAGGACTGGGGAGATGGCCCAGTGAGCAAAGCACTGCCATATAAGAGTAAGGACTGGAGTTCAGACCCCCTAGAAGCCACATAAAACTGGACAGGGTACACCCATCCAACAGTGAAGTGAGAGGTGGAGACAGGAAAATCCTAGGGAGGCTGGCAGTTCAGCTGGAAGACAACTTAAGACCCTGTCCCAAACAAGGTGGAAAGGCAAGGATACATTCCAAAGGTCCTTGACCTCCACATACATGCCATGGCACATGTACACCTATACTTATAATGAACATACATGCCTTAATTTGCTGCTATTAAACACTTAGGAAATAGTTTCTAATGGAATAGAGGCTAAGACTCTGAACATATGGACTTATCAATTCCCAAATGCATCCTCCTCTGGCTCTTCCTGAGTTCTTCTAGCAGGCCAGGCATGTGGCCCACAATAGTATTCTTCACAGCTAAGGCAGGACAATCAAAACACTAAGTCTAGCCTATGTGATTTAGCCAGATCCTTCTCTCCAAATAAAAAATAAAAAGTACTAAGGATGTAGCTAAGTGGTAGAGCAGTTGCCTAGCATGTATGAGGCCTTGTGCCCAATCCATAACACCAGAGAATAAAAATAAAAGTTCTGGGACTGGAGAGATGGCTCAGTGTTTAAGAACACTTGTTCCCCTTCCAGAGGACCCAGGTTGATTCCCAACACCCACGTAGAGGCTAACAATTGCCCATAACTCCAGTGCCAGAGGATCCCACACACTCTTCTCATGTGTGGTACACCTTAGAAGGTAAAACACTAAGAGACGCAAAATAAAATAAAGTTCTGATACCTACCAAAAGCAAAGACAAAATTTTAATTGTTAAATTTGCTTGCATTTAATGAGGATTCAAAAATAAAGCTACATTAAATACTTCAAAACATGAGGTACAAAATTAAAAGTATAATTTGTTTTCATTTTATGTGTATGAGTGTTTTGCTTGCATGTATGTAAATACACCTGTGTTGTGCAAAGCCCCTGGAGACCAGAAGAGAGTGTTGGATCCCCTGGAACTGGAGTTATAGAGGGTTGTTAGTTGCCATGTGGGTGCTGGGAATTGAACCCATGATCTCTGGAAGAGCAGCAGTGCTCTTAATCACTGAGCCACCTCTCCAGCTGCTAAAAGTATTAATTTTAATCTTAGGTTAAGAACAGTGCCTGGGCAGGCACAATGGTGCACCTGCACTTTTAGGGGAGAGAAGGAGGACTAGGAGTTTGAGACCAGTTTAGTCTACATAACAGGGCCCAGTTTCAGAAATAAGAAAAAGCCTGGGGATGTAGCTCAGTGGTAGAATGCTTGCCTCACATGCATAAAGCCCTGGGTTCCATCCCCAGAACCAAGAGAGAGGAAGGGGAGGGTTCGTCATGTATGCTTTTCAAAGTTGCAATCTGTACAGAAAATGGAATAAACAACTTTAATAATATCAATCTACACCCTGAAAAACAGCAGATCATAAGAACAAAGATTAATTATCACTGAGTATTTTGTGACCAATTTCATCACTGAAAAAAGTATATGAATGTAACACTTTTGGAAAATAGCCTTGTATCTAAATTACAAGATTTTTTCTTTAAATTTTATTATTATCATCTTTGAGCGTGCATGCGCAGACCTGCATATGCTACAGAGCATGTGTAGAGATCACAGGACAACTTTTGGGAATTGGTTCACTCCTTCCACTGTGGGTTCTGGGGATCCAACTCAGCTTGTCAGGCTTGGATGACAAACATCTTCCACCTACTGAGTCACCTCATTGGTCCAAGATTCGTAAGAATAGTGTTGAAATTTTTTACTTTTGATAAGGTTTCCACTTAGCAGGAAAGGCAAGGCACTCTACATGTGAAGAAATGGATAAACAAAGGGCTTGGAGAGATGCAGGAGTCTCCTTACTGTTAGGCAGCAAGTTGTCTATAAAGTTGTTTTGTAACTTCCAGGCCCTAGTTAAGTGGTTGGCCCAAGCAAAGAAAATGAAAGGGTTCCTCTAACACTGTTCCCAACCTACAAGCAAATTAAGAGGCAAGTCACAAAAGCCTTCTTTTTGAGTTTTTACATTTCTCTTCATTTCCCAGACCTTTCCACTGTCCTTTTTAAATGATATAAGTGCACTTATAAGGGATATGAGAGTCAATGGTTCAAGTCTTAGAAGCTAAAATGATTTTCATGTTCTGTCAAATATAATACAGTCAGAGGTGAGGGGGTTACCTCATTTTGGTGGTGCCCGGCAGCATTGAAGGGGGGAGCAGCATGTTCCAGCCAAATTGGCGCTCCCCCATGGACTATCTGCTCTCGCAACCACACCAGGCTGATGAAAGCACAGAGTGTGCATGTCACCACAAAACAGCCCTGCAAACAATCCGCCAACAAATTTTCCCTATTAAAAAAAAAACCACACAATTAACTCCAAAGAAAACCAGAAAAGTAAATCTTAAATTCTAGGGTAAAAATCAGCTGCTCCAAAAGGATGTCTATAATGATGCTGAGAGTCTGTCTATCTTAGAAGCTGGCTAATATACGCATCACAGATTTGTATCATCAGGCACTTTATACTAAAATCCATCAAGCTATATATAGCCACTAACTATTCAGCCTTTTTGTATAGCTAAGAAACAGGAGGGAGTAAGAAAAAAACAAATAAAACAGCAAAACAGTTAACAAAAAGCAAGCATTACATTTATATAATTTACACCAGGCATGGTGGTGAGCACCTTTAGTCCCTGCCCTCAGGGCACAGAGGCAGGGGATCTCTGTGAGATCAAGGCCAGCCCGGTCCACACAGTGACTTCCAGGTAGGCCAGGACTAAAGAGACCCTGTCAAAAACTAAAAATTTTATATAAATTTGCTAAAGGTGATCAACTCTGCTCAACCCTTTTAATAAGAATTTCCTTATCTTTTTGCTTGTTTGTTTGTTTGGACAGGGTCTCCCTGTAGCCCCAGCTAACCTGGAACTCATTATGTAGACTAGACTTGCCTTGATCTCACAGAGATCCTCCTGCCTCTGCCTCGAGAGTACACCAACACACAAGGCTCCTTATCCTTGTTTTAAACACAAGTTTAAAAACTTTGCTGATACCTAAGTGCACAAATTAACAGAGTCATCCAAGGAAAAAGGCAGGAAGCTCCTTCAGAGGCAGGTCTGATGACATGGTACAGAATATAAGGGTTGAACAATACTAATTCATGAAGAAGAAATATAATACATTTTTACTGAAAATTTTCACTTAGAAAGCAAATTTAGTTTTAATGCTAACTGAAAAAAATGTCAAAATAAATCAAAAGAGGCAAAATACAGTTCCTTCCATAATCATTCATAAAATATCTGAGATTCAGAATACTGAAGATTCCCTGGCTCTTTCTTTTAACTGCCCATGTCTGAGATTTCAGACTAACTTATAGATACCTCAAAATCTTGGTAGCCCTTAGAAAATTCCCTATTTCCATGTAATGACTTTTTTCCTCTATGGCAAATCGGAGGAAGGATCAATGTGAGAGACCACAGTCTAGTAGTTCCAAACTCTAACTAGTATGGCCCTAAGGAGGTCCTGTAACTATTGCTTGCTGAGGAGTCTTTTAAACCATCAACACTGTGACGGGTTGGGACGCAATGCTTCCCTCTCTACCTCTTCCCTGTCAAACAGTTAACTTCTTGTAGATATTAAATAGCACCAAACTCTAGAGTCCTTTTCTCTAATGTCTTCAATCTATGCTAGCATTATGTTTGCCTAGACCAAAGATGAGGGGCACCCCCAAGTTCCAGAGCCTAGAAAAGGATTTGTGAGCTTCCACTGCCCCTGTTCAGAATGCTGTCCTGGGCCTACTTTGGAGAAATCCTCTTGGCCAGTTCTGGAAGACCAAAGGCTATGCGGAAGAGTCAAGGAACCGCATGCAGGACCAGCTTAGACATTCAATCCCAGTACTGCGTGACCAGCAACCTCAACAGATGAACAGCTTGACTGAGCCCAAGTCAGATTTCTGACTTTGAGAATTCTAAGTAAAATGGGTGCTGTCCAAAGCCACTATGCTTCAGGCACTTTGCTTTATCACAATAAACAGTTGCAATGGTAAGCCTGGGGAAGACTAACTGAGCTACACAATTCAACCACTAAGAAATCATGCAAATCTGCAGCCTTTTCAGGAAAAACATTGCACCCCATCAAGAAAAGAAAATACTCTTCAACAAGGAGCAGGAGGGGTGTCTACAGTTCTTTTGAGCACTTCCAGCTAGCATTCTTCTCCTGTCTGTAAGTTTCTAACAGAGGCAATTCAGGTACCCACAAACTAGTCGCCTCAGAGAAAAAAAGGGAACTTGCCAACACAGGGCTAGCAAAATGCTAATGTCGAGTTAAGTAAACTACTATACCAAGCAAGTTTTTAACATGTATACTCTAATAATCCCAAGCATTTTAAAATTAATCTCAACATACAAACCTTAGTAGCACAGAACTCAAACCGCATGCCAGCCTATTTTTACAAGTCACCCCACCATTATAAATGTTCCTTAAAATGCATCATTTGTATACTTCTACTGTAGCTGGAATTGTTAGGACAAAAAACATGAATTACTGTTCTTAGAAGAATTTTCAAGTAATAATAAAAATAAAAATATGAAGAAAAACATCATTTACATCCTCAAGTCACTCTCACAGTCAATACTCACGTGGACAGCATGTCTAGTGGCAGTGTCAGTAAAGAGCTCACGGAGCCAGTAAACAAGCACTTGTAGATGCGGCCTAGCAAAAAAGAACACAGTGGTAGTCACACCCACACCATGAACTCAGTCAGCTGAAGAAAGCATAGTGAAGTGTATGCCGTGAACACCACGAGCATGAGCACTTTAACCTGTGCAGGCCTGACTCCCAAAAGCTTTGGTCTTACTTTTTTTCAATATTTTATTTATTATTTTCATTTTATGTGTATGTGTATTGCCTACATGTATGTGAGTGCATCCATGTCACGCAATGCCGCCGAGGTCAGAAGAGGGCGTTGGTTTCCCCTGGAACTGGAGTTAAGGACAGTTTGTAGCTGCCATGTGGGTGCTGGGATCAAACCCAGGTCCTCTGCAAGAGCAGTCAGTGCTCTTAACCGCTGAGCCATCTCTCCAGCCCCAATAAATACAATTTTTAAAAGACCAAAGCTTGGGGCTGGAGAGATGGCTCAGCAGTTAAGAACACTGGTTGTTCTTACAGAAGACCTGGGTTCGAATCCCAGCACCCACATGGCAGCTAACAACTGTCCATAATTCCAGTTCCAGGGGATCTGACAGCCTCTTCTGTCCTCTACAGGCATTGTATGACACAGGTGCACTTACCTACATGCAGACAATATACACATACACATAAAATAAAAATAAAAATTTTTTTTAAATCGTATTTGTTATCTACGCGCCCATGCGTGTGTGCAGACATGCACAAAGCCATGATGTATGGAGATCAAAGCACAGCTTTCTGGAGTCGGTTTTCTTCCTCAATCACAGGTTCCAGGGATGGATTCAGATCATGAGCATGCATGGCAAGTGCTTTTACCCACTGAGACATCTGAATGGTCTCAAATACTACGTTTTAAACAAGTAAAAGAGTGACAAAAAACAAATGCTTCAGAACATTGCTTTTTGGCCTATCTCGGTCTCTCTCCAGCACTAGTGATGGAAACTAGGCAAGAACTAGGCAAGAGCTCTGCCACTGAGCTACATCCTTAGTGCTAGATATTTCTGACTTGTTTTTATTGTGTGAGCTTAGATGTTTCCAGGGAAGATAGGCTCTAAGTTAATGAGCTAAATATAACATAAAGATTATCTCTTTTTTTTTTTCCTTCAGTCTTTTTGAGACAGTGTCTCCCTGTAGCCCCAGCTGGCCTGGAACTCACTATGTAGATCAGGCTGGCCTTGAACTAACAGAGTTCTACCTGCCTCTGCCCGGCTTAAGATTGTCTTCAAATTTAGAATCACAAGCCACTTGAGGTTCATGCTCACAACCTAAACATAAATTTGGAGTTACAAAATTCATTAAAATCATTAACAGAAATAAAGGAGATTTCAGTTTGGGAAATACACATCTTTGAAACTAAGAAGATTCTTCAGTATAGTGCATATTCCAATGATAGAAACATTAGCCTGACAACTGGTTAAAAGGCCAGCAAGATGGCTCAGCAGGTAAAAGTGTATGCTATGTACCAGGCGAGGTAGCACACACCTTTAATCCCAGCACTCACGAGGCAGAGGCAGGTGAATGTCTGTGAGTTCAAGGCCAGCCTGGTCTACATAGCGAGTTCCAGGCCAGGTGGAACTACAAGGAAATCCTGTCTCAAAAAGACCAAAAAAAAAAAAAAAAAGTGCAACCCTGAGTACCTGAGTTTGATCTCTGGGACCTGAGCTCAATCCCTGGAATCTAAATAAAGCTGGAAGGAAAGAATCAATTTCACATAGTTGTTCTGACCTTCCACACCCTTGCATGCACTCACACGTGCACACGCATGTATACACACACACACACACACACACACACACACACACACACACACACTTTAAAAAGGGACTGGAGATGAGAGGAAGGTATGAAAAGAAGCCATCTACTGGACACATTTAGGCATTGGTACAAATTAGGAATAAATATTTAGTTCTTTATAATTAGAGATTTCTTTTAATCTTTGTGAGCTTTCCTTGTTAGTTTCTATATGCTATATTTTTCTCTCCCACATTCACTCAAGAAACACACATGTTCCACATCCCACTCTTGGGATGTAGCCCAGTGGTAGAAAGCATGCACAGTAGCATGCATGAGGCTCTGGATTCAATCCCAGCATGAACATCCTTCCCTCCTCCCACAAAAAAACAGCTTAGAGAAGATGAATGTTTTCTAAATGAGGCTTTCCTAATGTGGGACATCATAACAACAAATAAGTATCATTCAAACAATATTAGGCAATGTTTTATAATACTAAATAATTGTACCCTGTTTAAGTAATTCCAAAAAGGGCATGAGTACTCACATGCTGTAAGAGGAACAACTCCCAGCCATGCAAAGGCCACAAGTGTGTAATGAAACCAGTATCGTATTGCAGTGCCAATACTTGTAACCAGTCCAGCAAATATGTCTTGGATTGGTAGCCGTGAAGGCATATCTGGAGAATAAACTGTAAGAGGAAAAATATGATAGGGTTTCACGATGATGTCTAGATGACTTAAGTCATAAATACAAACCAGGCATGAGGAGATTCTTTAACTTTCAGCGTGCTCACTGTGCTTACACATCTAGGGGCATATCATCCTGCTTCATTTATATCCTGCCTAACTAGTTCTCCTAAAAAATGTTGAATTTCAAATCATTACAATAATAGATTTATGTAAGAAGTCATTTAAGCAAGCCACAATTACAATGTGGAAATCAATGAAAAAAAGTCACTTAGCAGAGAAAAAGAATTGACAGAAAGAAATTCATCTCCCCAGCTCATAGACAAGAATTATGAGTAATGTTAGTTACACATAACTGAGAACTCAAATCACACAATTATCTGACTTCTTACACTATGAAGGATCAAGTAAACAAGCAAAAAGAGGTGCTAATGGCAGGTCATCAAAAAGAAACCCCAAAAGAATAACCTACGGCAGAGCCGCTTCATATGTACCAAGGGCCCACTGGTATTTGTCAGCCTACCCTCCCCTCAATTCTAACATCTTCCTTAAACTTTCAAGTGATAAATTCAGATATCTTTGCAAAATGTGCATCAAAACACTGAAGAGTTTTTTCATATTCTAGAAAAATGTAAAAATAAATAAAAATCCAATAAAAAGCTCCTCTCCAGAGAATACACTGTCTTACAAACACCAGAAGCCAAGCAAAAGAATTAGTATATAAATTCAATGACCTAGAATTTATAAGACAGGGCTGGGGTAGGAGACAGAGACTAAAACCAAGCAAAACTAAAGGACAATGCTGGGGTGTATCCCAGAGGCAGAGTGCTTGTTTAACACAGATAACACCCTGGGTTCAATCGTAGCAATACAAAAAATAAATTAAAAAAAAAAAAAAAAAAAACATGTAAGAGCACTATCATAAAACTGTTCACCTAGAAACACTCAGGAACAAGTTTTTATAATACACACAGATCACTAACTTTAACAGGATATTTAGTACAAAAGAGCAAGTCATTAAATCAATAATAACAGAACTTCAGGAGAAAGAGCTAAAGGAAGCAGGCTATGAATGTCAGGTGAAAAATGTTATGTACAAAAGAAGCTTTTACTGGCCTCAAAGTAAATGCCCACGTGATATATCCTATCAGCTAACTTCAAGAAGACATTCAATCATTTAGTCTTAGTTTGCTACAAATTGTAACAAGCTCATTATGCACTACAGAAAATTAAAGACTTTGAAAGAATACAATTCACATATTTTTGTTGGCAATGACTAGTAAAAATGAAATGTACAACATTAATCATATATGCTTGTCAAATATAAAGTAAAACTAATGATAAGTTACAGTATTTGTACTGAGCATCACAAGAGACAAAAAATCCTGGGGGTTGGGGGGGCAGGGATAATGTACTAGGATCCCAAAATAAAACTGTGCTTCAAAATTTTAATAATTTGTTGGTACAGTCCTGTTTGATATGAACAATATTAATCAGTACGTATCATTAAAAGTTTAGACATCTGAAAAATATTTACTGAAATATGAGTTTAAAAATATGAGCTTAAACCGGGCGTGGTGGCGCACGCTTTAATCCCAGCACTAGGGAGGCAGAGGCGGACAGATCTCCCTGAGTTCAAGGCCAGCCTGGTCTACACAATGAGCTCCAGGACAGCTGGGGCTATAGGGAGACCCTGTCTCAAAAAGACAAAA